TCACGTGATCTTGATTCTATCCCTCTGTTAATGCAGCCTAGCACTGTGTTGGCCTTTTTGGCAGCTGCAGCACACGGCTGGCTCATATTTAGGTGATTGTCCACTAGGACTCCGAGGTCCCTCTCACAGTTACTACTATTGAGCAAGGTGCCACCTATGCTGTACTTGTGCATTTGGTTTTTCTTGCCTAAATGTAGAATTGTGTCGTAAGTCGAAGACTAGCCGTAGACTGCCCGTTTATCAACCAGAGGAGTCTTCGCCGTGCAGCAGCTAAAAATATGAACAAGCGCATTCTGATCTTGATAAGATGGCCCAGTCAAATTTGGGAACGTCTTGTCCCAATTGTTGGAAGGAAGTGTAGAAAGAGCAAATTAAACAACCTTCAAAATCGGACTGAAAATGGCCTAGCATTCTCCATATGGAGGGCAAATGTATAAGGCAGGGGTAGGCAACCTTGGCTCTTTTATGACTGGTGGACTTCAACTCCCAGAATTCCTGAGCCAGCCATGCTGAGGGGAAATGGAGAGGTTTCCAAGCTGAGCCATGCTGGCTGAGGAATTCTGGGAGTTGAAGTCTACAAGTCATAAAAGGGGCAAGGTTGCCTACCCCTGGCCTACACCAACAAAAAGCCCTAGCTTGATTTTGGAGGGTGGGCCTAATATAAACCATACCCCCAAAATAAACCCTAGTTTTGGGGCGAGGCACACACCTAAAAATCAAGCTAGGGCAGGGGTGGGGTGTGGATCTGCCCCATGCGCCTCACATCCGCTTCCCTTGTAGCCAGGCCTCTCCTCGCCAGCCCACGTCTTCTTCTGAGGCCTCTTCTGCAGCCAGGCCTGCATTTCTCAGTCACGGAACTTTCCGGAAGGCCTTTGCAGCCAAGAACTGAGCTACGGGTTCAGTCCATAGCTCGGTTCTGCAAGATCTCAGCAACCGAGCAACAAGCTATTGAATCCATAGCTCAGTACTCAGCTGCTTAGGCCTTCTGGAAAGGCCTGACTGCCAAATGCAGGCCCAAATGCAGCTGCAGAACTTCAGCCCCAGAAGAAGTGGACCGGCTGGGTGGGGCTGTCAGTGCCGGAGGTGAGGTAAGGCCTACCCCGAAAATAAGACCTGGTGCCTCTTTTGGAGGCAAAAAAAAAAAAAAAGACACGGTCTTATTTTTGGGAAAACACGGTAGGTGGGCAGGAGCTGGAACAAGGAATGGGAGCTCACCCTGTCCAGCAACGCTCAGGTCTCAAACCGAGGCTAGAAAGCTGACAAGCTCGGCGTCTTTACCCGCTGAGCCACTGTGCCCCAGCAAAGGAGTATCATCCCAATTATGAGGGTATAATCAAAAAGTTAAAAAAGAAAGCAAAGTGGAAGAACTTTGCAGCCAGGCCTCAGTCAAATTCTAGGAATTTTAGCTAGGTTTCCCCTGGGATTGGTTTAAATATGGGTCGTCCTCGACTTATACCCGTTCGTTTAGTGACCATTCAAAGTTACAACGGCACTGAAAAAAGTGCCCAATGACCCTTTTTCACACAACCATTGCAGCACCTCCCTGGTCACATGATCAAAAATTCGGACCCTTGACAACAGTCATGGCATCACGTGATCTCCTTTTGCGACCTTCTGACAAGCAACAGAGAAGCCAGATTCATTTAACAACCGTGTTACTAACTTCAGAACTGCAGTGATTCGCTTAACAACTGTGACAGGAAAGGTCGTAAAACGGGGCAAAATTCACTTAACCACTGCCTTGATTAGCAGCGGAAATTTTGGACTCGACCGTGGCCGTAAGTCAAGGACTACCTGTATTTCTTGGCAAGGGAAAACTCCCCCCTCCCCGCGGCTTCTTTCCCCTCTCTGCGGTTCCCCTCTTACCTTGTAAACCGAACTTTGCAAATGTTACACTCGTACGGCTTCTCTCCCGTGTGGGTTCGAATATGGCGCGGGAGCTTGCCGGCTCCTTGGATGACTTTCTCGCAGATGGGACATTTCTGGAATGCTTTTGCACGGATTTTCTTCTCCACCTTCTGAGACCAGGATGGATATTCGCCGCCCTCCTGGGAAGTGCTAAAATAATTCAAGTAATAATCCATGACTCCGTCGTCGTCCTTGCGGTCCTCGTCGGCCAACTGCTGCCGTCCCACCGAATTGATCATTTGCTGCAGGAGCGCGCTGGCGGCCAAGCCGTCCACTTCCCGCGAGTCCTCCTCTCGCTCGGCTCCGCCGGAAGCAAACGCCGGAGAATCGCCCGCCTCCTGCTGGTCCAACGGAATGCCGGCTGGCCCGTCGTCCTCCCCCACGGACACCGGCAGGCTACGTCCACCGAACTGTCCGTTTTGAGCGGCGGGGAACAAGGGTGCCTGGCCCGTCACCTCGTCCTCGTCCCACATGGCGTGCTTGGCGTCGGGATCACAGTCATTTGCCTTTGGTCTGTCACTGAGAGCGGCCTGCGAGTAGAAGTCCATGCCGTTGCATTCCGGCTCTTCGTCCTCCTCTCGGCCACGGAAGGTGAGCCTCTGAAGGTCTCGCAAGTCGTGGTTGGTCCATGAAAAGGTGCCCTGTTGGCCGTTGATGGGATTACTCTGGAAAAACTCCAGGTATTCTTTTGCTCGGAGATGGTTCCTTTGATCAATTTGATCTACTGTATCCATCTGGTCCGTTTTGGCCAGAATCTTCCTGTCCAGGAGATCCGTGCAGACCTCCCTCACCGCCTCGATCTCTAGCAGCTTGGCGGCATTGAGGATCTCGCTGACGTTCGAAGTGCTGACGGTCAGAGTGGCGGTGTAGGCGAATTCCAGCAAGGCCGAGAGGGCGTCCCCGCTCACAAAGTCTATCTCGTACACGTTCTGCTGGTCAACCACCAGCCCTGAGGTGAAAAGCTTCTTGAAGTATTGGCTGCAGGCCGCCAAGACCGAGCGGTGGGTGGGGAACTCCTGCCCGTCCACCAGGATCACCACGTCGCAGAGGAGCCCGTTGTTTCTCTGTTCGTTCAGGCTGCTCAAGATGTCGCTGCTGTGGTCGGGGAAGGGGATGCCAATGGGGCCATCTACGCCACCCTCCATGCTGGCACCAGAGGGCTGTCGAGAGAGGCAAGACACATGCGGTCAATTGAGGAAGTCACAAGGGAGTGGTTTCCCCTACTCCTCCATTTTCTACAGCCACACCAATTATTCCCCCCCCCCCGCACAACCAATGAGAGTCACTACTCACATTTCCCTGAAAATAAGACCGGGTCTTATATTAATTTTTGGCTCCAAAAGACGCATTAGGGCTTATTTTGTGGTTAGGTCTCGTTTTCGGGGACATACGGTAACCACAAAATACCGTATTTCCCTGAAAATAAGACCGAGTCTAGTACTGATGAGGTTAGCTAGTTGGGTAATGAAACGTCTGCAAGGAAACAACCAAGCTCAGAGAGCACCAAGACTCCCCTTCCTTCCTTCCTTCCTTCCTTCCTTCCTTCCTTCCTTCCTTCCTTCCTTCCTTCCTTCCTTCCTTCCTCCTCTCTACAAACCCTACTCCCTTTTTGCACTGATCAGATTGCCTAGTTGGGTCATGAGACGTCTGCAAGAAAACCACCAAGCTCAGAGAGCTCCCCGTTTGCAACATTCGCAGGTGGCTTCCAGCAAGCCAAGTCAAGGGGCTAAGCCAGATTCGCTTAATGACTGCCTGATTCACTTAACAACTGCAGTGATTGGCTTAAGAACCACCGAAGAAAAAGTTGCAAAATCAGCGGCGTCTCACTTAACGTGGACATTTCAGTCCCAATTGTGGTTGTAGGTTGAGGACATCTTGCGTACATTATTTGGATTCGTGCTGTGATTGACAGCAATGACATCCAAACCCTGAACGGGAAACCTGACTCGGTGTCCTTCTAAAAAATTCACACGGGCCTCTTCAAAAGCCCACAGGACTAGCAACTTATTATTTCAGGCTTTTCACAAATCCTAAAAAACATACAGGAAGTCCTCAAACTTACGACCACAATTGAGCCTAGAACAGGGGTAGGCAACCTTGGCTCTTTTATGACTGGCGGACTTCAACTCCCAGAATTCCTGAGCCAGCATGGCTCAGCTTGGAAACCTCTCCCTTTCCCCTCAGTATGGCTGGCTCAGGAATTCTGGGAGTTGAAGTCCACCAGTCATAAAAGAGCCAAGGTTGCCTACCCCTGGCCTAGAATATCTAAAGCAAGGTGATTGTTAAGTGAGCTTTGCCCCATTTTACGACTTTTCTTGCCACGGTGACTAAGTGAATCACTGAAGTGGATAATTAGGAACACGGTCGTTAAGTGAATCCGGTTTCCCCCTTGACTTTGCTTGTGAGAAGGTCATAAAAGGGGATCATGTGATCCCGGGTCACTGCGACCGCCATAAATGTGAGTCAGTTGCCGAGCGTCTCTAATTTGGATCACGTGACCACGGGGAATGCTGCGGCGGTCGCAAGTGTGAGTACCAGTACAGATAGTCCTCACCTTAACGACCACAACCGAGCCTAAAATTTCCGTTGCTAAGCGAGACGTTTGTTAAGTGAGTTTTGCTCCATTTTACGACTTTTCTTGCCACAGTTGTTAAGCGGATCACTGCACTTGTTCAGTGAGTGACAACGGTTGTTAAATGAATCTGGCTTCCCCGCTTGACTTTGCTAGTCAGAAGGATCGCGTGACCCCGGGATGCTGCAAACCGTCATAAATACGAGTCAGTTGCCGAGCGTCTGAATTTGAACCAGGTGACGGCAGGGATGCTGCGACAGTCGAAAGGGTGAAAAACGGCCAATGTAACTTCGAACGGCCACTAAATGGACGGTGGTAAGTCGAGGACTTCATTCTGGGGTCCCAGACATAAAAGCCAAGCATAAATTGTTCAGAACGGAAGCTCCCTACGGTATCTTTCTTCCTCACACGTTGTACACAAATCCCTTCGGCATCCTTGTTGTGTAGCTAAACACCACCCTCCCTTAATAAAACAGCATCCCAACAGGAAAATCGGGCTCCCCACTCACCACATGCAAATGTAGGAACGAAGAAAAACAAACTCTGATTTCCCTAACCACAGTTTACGGAATACAACCCTCCCAGGATGCTGACCCATCAACAAGTCAGCTGCTTGAAAATTGAGCCCCTCCCGTAACAATTGTATTTTAAGCAACCCTATTAAACATCTCATGCTGCTAGTCCTCATCTCTCTCTCTCTCTCTCTCTCTCTCTCTCTCTCTCTCTCTCTCTCTCTCTCTCTGTGTGTGTGTGTGTGTGTAGATATTGAGTTGAAAACCCAGTCCACCAAATATGGGACAAAGCAATCTGCTACTGCTTTTTCGCTCCAATCTAGGAGCATTTTTTTTGCAGGCAGACGTCACTACTGCGACAAGTGTAAATTCAAAATTTTGTAGCCGACCAAGAGTTAAAGGGAGACTAGTATAGCTATTTCGAGCTATTTAGCTCTCATCAGCTAGCCATACCCTTCTGAGATTCGAACCTGGGCAGCTTGCATGTTAGGCAGCTGTATTAACCTCTAGGCCTCTCTGATGAGAGCTAAATAGCTCAAAATAGCTATACTAGTCTCCCTTTAACTCTTGGTTGGCTACAAAATTTGTATGTATGTATATATGTATATATGTGTATATATGTATGTGTGTGTGTGTATATATATATATATATATAAAATATCTACAATACATATATATACATACATACACAGACACAGACACCATACTTATATATATATATATATTTATAAAAAAGAGGTTGAGACTTTGGAAAGAGTACAGAAAAGAGCAACAAAGGTGATTAAGGGATAAAGGCTAAAACATATGAAGAATGATTGCAGGAATTGGATATGTCTAGTCTAGAGAAAAGAAGGACTAGGGGTGACATGATAGCAGTGTGCCCATATTTGAGGGGTTCCTACAAAGACGAGGGGGTCAAACTATCCTCCAAATCACCTGAAGGCAGGACAAGAAGCAACAGATGGAAACTAACCAAAGAGAGAAGCAACCTGGAATTAAGGAGAAACTTCCTAACAGTGAGGACAATCAACCAATGGAACTACCTGCCTCCAGAAGTTGTGGTGCTTTATCAATGGAGGCTTTCAAGAAGAGACTGGACGGCCATTTTGTCCAGAATGGAATAGGGTCTCCTGCTTGAGCAGGGGGTTGGACAAGAAGATCTCCAAGGTCCCTTCCAACTCTGTTATTCTGTTGTTATTATTATTATTAAACTTCAGAGACCCTCAAACGCCCAAGCCTGAATCCCAGGTCTCAAAATAAGGGCATCTTTATTCCATTCTGCTGTTCATAAGACTGTTCAGCCCCCCCATCTTTTCTCCAAGGAAGGGGACCATCACCCCTCTTGTCCTCCAAACGCCGCACAGGGTGAGGTCGAGACACAAACCAGTTCCTGGATTTTGCAAGCCCAGGCGCTTGGCACACAGCCCCACGGCCTGGAACGCACTCCAACATCTGTCAGATACTAACAACTGGAGACGGATGACACCTTGTGACCAGAGGGGGGAAACTATCCACATGGCGAAGGGTCACGGGATGTGGTGTGCAATTTGCACGCCCTCTAATGCGTGACTGCGGGCGAAGGCACCAACTGTACTCCTTCGATCCGAAAGTGCCCGTTTTGCTGCACTCGGCACGGAAATGCCATCCCCACCCAGGTTTGCGATCAGTGCCTGCCACAAAGAAGGTGTGTGTGTGTGTGTGTGTGTGTGTGTGTGTGTGTGTGTGTGTGTGTGAAGCTATTCTCCAAAGCATCCAAGGGCAGGACAAGAAGCAATGGGTAGGAATTCATCAAGGAGAGAAGCAACTTAGAACTAACTGAAGGAGTGTAAATCCTTCCATTTCCCCCACCGTCCGGTCAGAGCTGAAGAAGCTTCTTGGAGGAGAAGCGAAACGTCTTCAAAGGGAAAACAAGAAAGTCCAGTTGCCTTCGGGATAACCAGGACCTGGATTGACTGAGCATCTCCAGAGACAAACCTGGAACTAAGGAGGAATTTCCTGACAGTGAGTCAGGAACAATTAATCAGTGGAACAACTTGACTTCAGAAGTTGTGGGTGCTCCCACACTGGAGGTTTTTAAGAAGAGACGGGACAGCCATTTGTCCAGAGCAGGGGGCTGGATTAGAAGACCTCCAAGGTCCCTTTCATTTGTTGGTCTGTTCTATATTCTGCTCTATATTCTGTTTCCTATCCTATCCTATCCAATATTCTGTTCTACAGCATATTCTATTCTATTCTATTCTATTCTATTCCATTCCATTCCATTCCATTCCATTCCATTCCATATTCTATTCTATTCTATTCTATTCTATTCTATATTCCATTCTATTCTAACCTATCCCATTCCACATATTCTATTCTATTCTATTCTATTCTATTCTATTCTATTCTATTCTATTCTATTCCTGTTTCTAATTCTATTCTATTCTATTCTATTCCATATTCCATTCTATTCTAACCTATCCCATTCTATTCTATTCTATTCTATTCTATTCCTGTTTCTAATTCTATTCTATTCTATTCTATTCTATTCCATATTCTATTCTCTTCTATTCTCTTCTATAGTAGTCTATTCTCTTCTCTTCTATTCTCTATTCTCTTCTTTTCTATAGTACATTCTATTCTATATTCTATTCTATTCTATATTCTATTCTATATTCTATTCTATTCTATATTCTATTCCATATTCTATTCTATTCTATTCTCTTCTATAGTATAGTCTACTCTCTTCTCTTCTATTCTCTATTCTCTTCTTTTCTATAGTACATTCTATTGTATTCTATATTCTATTCTATTGTATTCTATATTCTACTCTATTCTATTCTACTCTATATTCTATTTCAGTATATTCTATTTCAGTATATGCTTCATTGATTTTGAAAAAGCTTTTGATAAAATAAGACACAGCAAACTATTAGAAATCCTGAAACAAGGGGGACTAGATGACAAAGACATCCAAATCATAAAGAATCTGTATTGGCATCAGGTAGCAAATGTGAGACTAGGCCCAAAATACTCAGCTGATGCAGAAATAAGAAGAGGGGTCAGACAGGGATGTATTCTG